AATAATAATAATAATAATAATAATAATAATAATAATAATAATAATAAAGAGTTGCAGAGGGCGGTGCACGAGTAGTACAAACGCATGGTTCGGGCCTTATCCATGGCGGCAGGTCAGCTATTCATCAACGCGATCGGAGCCTAAGTCAACAGCGGTTATGTGGTGATCGAGGCACCGAGCATCATCGGACAACACTGATCGACGAACGGAGCGCAAATCTTCGACCCGCAGTTTCTTCGCCGATGAAGTCTGGGACTAAAGAAGTTGGATTCCTCGAGTCTGTCAGGTTGTTACTGTTCTTCAAATTACGAGAGCTCCTGGCATTTTTGAAAATGCAGCACGAGTGTTATGCGTTTTTCAGTGATGTACTTGCCTCAACCTTATTAATTTAATTTGATGAAAGGCTCCTGGCAGTCAAATAGAGTAAATTTAAGGTTCTGACAAAAAATAATAACCATATTCATTTTGCTAGAAATAGACGGTTGTCGTGAACACTTGTAATAAAAAACTAAGTTCCAGTTATAATTTAATTTAAAGAATACCTAGGTAGCCATGTTAGCTATGTTACTCGAAAGCTCCTACAGACTGAGAGCACATTTGCCTGAGCTGTATACCTCTGTTTAATGCCTAATAATGTTTTAAAATTATATAATAATTGATGATTCTTCAAAATTGCGATGAACCTACTTTAGAAAGGTGAGACAGTTTTAGAAGCATCAAAGGAAGTTCCATAATTTATGATTATACTGCACAGATATAACATAAGTCTTCCCGTTCGTGATGGGAAAGTAACGTATACAAAAAAATAGCCAAGAATGGCGCAGGCTAAAAAGCTTTAAAATTGATGGGAAAACTTTAGAGAAAAGCTTTTACCTCTTCCCCAGCCAATGTGAGTGTGAACTTGCTGATGGCGTTAACGTAAGCAAATAAAGCTGCGATTTCACTTCTAACCGCGATCTAGAGGGAGACACTGCTAATTCGTCATTCATGGAACCGACAGTAGTTTTTTTAGCAAATATAATTTCCTCCTCCATCTGAAAGCAACAGTTTTCGACGGAAAGCAGAGGACGGTTTAAAAAGACAGAGACTGAAAAAAAGCAGGAAAGAGGTGTTGCTGTACCATCCCACAACGGTAGCGCTGAAGGACGAAAATGGATATCGGATAACGAATCGGATGAATGCGAAGAACCATTTTTAGAAAATTCTTTACAAATCTGTTTGCATCACGGGCATTCCAACACTTGTAATTCACAACATCAAGCAGCAAATTCCTCTAGTACTTGTAAGCGAAGTAAGATACGCAATAAAAAATAGAAATTTCCGGAAATGGACTTTACCACTGAACTGATCGCATCCGGAAAGCACGAACCCTGAAGAGCTGTAGCCAGTCGGTACAATCGGCATTGCTTAAAAAAAATCGATTATATCTAGCAGTCGGAAAGAGTCGAAAAAGAATTCGCTACACAAAAACGGCGATAAAGAAGATCTGAAGAATCACTTCTCAATCAGCCTATTCTCCCATATTTACAGATCGTTTGCGAGTATTACCACTAGGCACCAACAAGATTCCTCGATGAACAGCAGCCGAGGGACCAAGCCGCATTCCGAAGCAATTACACCACGACCGACTACATTTAAGCCCTAAACCAGGTGCTGAAAAGTGCACTGGAGTACCTTCTCCGTCTTATCTTACTCATCGATTACGAAAAAGCATTCGCAGCGCAGAGCTGATTGTTGTGCTAGGAGCTCTCATAAATAAAGGGGTTGATGGGAACTATTTGAAAATTGCTAAGGAAGCAAAAATAAGCTGCTCAGCAGACATAACATTTTTTTTTTGCTTCTTTTCGCACACCAATCGAGAAAGAGGTGAAACAGATAATCACATGTTGCACAGGCTTTTCACGGCTTGTCCTGAAATGGTATTTTGGAAACAAGATGGTCTGACGATTAATGACGAGTTGCTACATCACTTACGTCTTGCGGATAGCTTGGTTCCTGCTGCCAATAACCCTCAGGAAAAAAAAATGCTGCAAGAAGCACAGCGCACAAAGAAAGGGAGTAAGCCTGAGAATCAAAGCATTGAAAACAAAAGCAATTAAAAGTTCTGGTATGCTTGCAGCAAAACTACAGAGACAGTGTGGACTTTTAAAAAGTTGACAGCTACGTCTATTGCAGACAGGAAGCAAATATGCGTCATTTGTCGTAGTATTGTGGAATTTGCGTCAAGTGGCAGCTCCACGACGTGCAATTTTTAACAGGAAGTTGCACGTCGAAGAGTTGTTGATTGACGCAAATTAATTATACAGCTTCTGCAATTTCCCGAAAATGTTGAGCCGAAAGGATTGTATCCATTTCTTCAACATCGTTTCCACCGTATCCACAGACGTGTTGAAAGCGGTGGCGTGCGAATACGAAATATGGCCACTCACGATAGGCGAGCGAGCGCTGTCTGTGATAAAGAGGGCGGTGGAGCGAAGGATGTTTTGCGTGTTTCTCCGCGACCATACGAACAATCAGTGTATCCGCCAGATGAGCGGCGCGGAGGATGTCACAGTAATCACATGAGGAAGTAAATTCCGATGGGCACAATGTGTTGCTCGCCTTGCTGACAATTGGTGGACAACGTGCACTAGTGAGTGCTATTTATAAAATAAATTGCCAACACACGGGCTCCCCGTATGAAGATGCGTTTTTTGCATAGCTCCTCGCAAACTTTTGTCGCTAACGGTACTGGTTTTTCTGCCAGATGCTTCTAGCTAAAAGAATTTCAGACTGGCCGTCAGGACTGTCAGGAAAAATCCCGTCAGAATCCCAGTCTTCTAGCTTCTCACTTTCCCGAGTTAGCAACTTACCCAGAAGAAACTTTCAAGGGC